GGATTATTGGGAATGTTAGAGGTCAGGGGGCTCTCTCGTTGGTGGATTATTGGGAATGTTAGAGGTCAGGGGGCTCTCTCGTTGGCGGATTATTGGGAATGTTAGCGGTCAGGGGGCTCTCTCGTTGGCAGATCTTTACAGTAGTTCCCCAAGGGTCCCCAGAGTGAGGAGGACTGACCCTGTTGTTGACCTGGCTCTGAGGACCACTGGGACATGGAAGTTGGGCTGCTGCTACACAGATGCTCACCTGTGGATAGGGCCGGTTGGTCCCCAGTAGCGGACGCTCTCTCTGCGGGTGAGGGAACGCACCGGGCCTTGAAGACTGTGAGGGAGAGAGGAACAACGACATTCTGCATGACTCTGATATGTGACACACGCACACAAGACAAATGCTGGTGGCTCACATTCCCTTGTCCCCCTTGAACTAAGATTTCAGGATAGTTCACCACTTCACCAAGTGAAAGACCCACGTTCTGAGCCACAATTGACAATCTTCCTGGGACCAATATAGAGAATGATACTTTAAAAGACTAAGGTTGACAGCTGGGTGGTCTTGGGCCATACCAATACCATTCTAAGGGGAACCCCTCCTTCTACACATTGTCACCGTGATGGTGGCTCCATTCGGATGACTCTCTATCCCTTTAAGCCCACAGTAATTATCAACTGCTTGAACACTCCATTGAGCACAAGGCAGCCAGTATCCAGTTTGCTCTGGGGGCGGGAGGGGTAAACCACTTCCATTGGGGGGAGGGGGGGAAGCACTGTCCCGAAGAGGCCTGGGGGGCAGGGTGCTGGCTCTCAATGGTTTTAAAATACATTTCAAGCTGGACTTTCTATGTAACTGATTAATTAGAGCACATAGGAGGTGCGGCTGAGGGGAATCCAGCATCGATCCAGGTTCTGTGACCTTTGGGGACTCAAGCTATGAAGCACTGGAATAGGACAAAATCACTGTATGGGTTTATTGGGTTCAGCCCATCTGATGCAGAACATCAGGAGCCACTCCTGAAAGGCAATATGCCAAACTGCCTGGCACCTGCCCGAATCCCACAGTAACACCTGCTCGAATCTCACTGTAACACCTGCCCGCATGCCCCAATAAGTGCATTGCTGGCTGTACAACAAGACTGCAAAAGAGAAGAAACACTACCCTAAGAGTGTAGGTTCACATGCTTCTGAGGAGGTCTTAAAAAAGTTAGGGTGGATTCCGAAACCCCCCCGCAGCTCATCCAACTGCGGCCTGTGCAAGTGCTATATGTTCCATGCAGAATCTGAGATCAACTCAGAATATTCCCTGTCATATATTTTCACGTGCTATATTTTGAGCAACTCAAGCTTTGAAGACCCCCTCCTCTAGGCCTTCCCCCCCCTCCACATGCACACCCTCTCGGAGGCATTAAGTGGGTCAGCATAAAAATGCATTAAACCATACAGGTATGTTCAACCACAAACAGACAAAGAAAAGATCGAAAAACGAACAACTCCATAGCCTACTGCAAGCAGAGAGTGCCTCTCAGCATGATGACAATGGAAACACTAAATGGATTCTGACAATGTACAAAATATACATAATGTAACGGACGTCATCTTTTTCACAATGTGCACGGTTTCATTAACTTTTCAGAAATCTTAGTTCAAGGGGGACAAGGGAATGTGAGCCACCAGCATTTGTCTTGTGTGCGTGTGTCACATATCAGAGTCATGCAGAAATGGCATAGAGATTCAGAGATTTCAATGGCGTCAGAAACAACTGTAGTTTCTAAATTTGCAATAACATTGCTGCTTAAGTATTGGGTTGATATGATCTAGTCAGTCTTGTTTGAGATAATAAACTCCAAACACAGCATTGTGCCAGTCAGTACCTATCTGCTGCTAGTCTCTTAGCATGCTAGGCTAAATTACTATAGGTATTACAAAATCAGATTATAATTATTTGGAGGGAGGGGTAATCGGTTTGAACATTAAGTCATCATCGAGCCTCGCGTCTTGCGGTAAATCTGTCAGTACGTGCATTGCTACAATGTGGGTTAAACTGTTTCACAGGTGACCTTCCCGCCCGTGGAACAGGGGCGCACTGGCGCCAAAATGCAGCCACGGAATTTATACCAATGTGATATTTTGCCGCCGATCGAGGGGGCGGGGGAGGGACCGAACTGCCCCATGGCCGGTCCGCGCCTGCCCGTAAAACATCTGTCTCGTCCCTTATGACATTTAAATGCATTTAAAAATGCATGTAAATATTTATAATCTCCAACACTCGGTTATTTCTGAAATACATTCAATTGATCACAGATGCAAAATTGATGCTGGTCATGTTTTTGTTGGGGTATGAGATTTATTACTTACAAGGTATCTACATGAATGGGATTAGGCGTTTCTAATATATCACCCAAAAACTACCTTCAGATGTCATTTATAAACTAATTTCGTTTATTATTTAATTCTGTCAGACGGATTGATACAGGAGACCTATATGGCCTGTATATGCACATATATGCACCTCAATTTTGCCTATATGTGGCATATATACGCATATATGCAGCATATATATGCATATATACTGCATATAGGTTTCATATATGCGCATATATCCTCATATACTGTAGGTTCTTTCCATGTGGGTGCGTCTGTTATATATTTCGAATCATTAAAAACTGAGCATAAAATGATTTCCATGGAGACCGCATACTAAACAAACTTGCAAAATACAAATATATTCATATATATTAATATTCATAAAATTAATTTCAAATGAAGATAACGCAATAGGCCTATTTAATACTGACGAACGTATTATACTTCAATTGGATGCATCTGCATATCTTCATACATAAGTGAAATATGTTCTCACCTTATTTATTTCGGGAAACATTCCGTTTAAAAAATCGTGCCCAAGCTCAAAGGAAGTCCCAGACTGAACTAAATCCAGATGAGAGCAGCGCACCTGCACATCCTCCCGGACCGAACTCACGAGCTTAACTTCGTTTTTTTCCGCGTCAGGTCTCCGATGGCGTCCGGCAGCAGATGGATCAAACGGAAGGGTGATTTACTAATTTTGAAAACTGCAAGCCAATCACGTTACAGTTTTCGTTGCAGTCTTCGGCGCACTTCTGCACGCTGGGCAGCAAAAGCCGTCGTCAGCAGATTATGGCTCGTAGGCAAAGCGGTAAGTATATTCTCCAGAGTCGCCACCTGTTTAGACATCCGTGGTTGACAGCTGTGAGTCTCGATATAGATTTGTTTTTGTCTGCATCCTAATCATCATCGACTTCTGTAAACTGACGCTCCGGGGTAAATCTGACTGCATCAGCCCGTAAACATATCGCGTGACACGCACACATGTGTTTCAGCCTCAGCCCTTATATACTGAAGCCCACCCCCCGCCCCCCGAAAGTCAGCATACGTCGCCACTCTTGAAGGTTTCCATTAAGAAGACTGGAGATCCCCCTAAAATCAGCCGTGCCTTCGTTATTCTAATTGCACATTTTAATCAAGTACATATAACATGTCGATCGACTGCATTTACCAGGTTTGCAACTTTTTAAATATCTATGCCGAGATTTTAATGTCTATAAGAACTCGATGTTAATGTATTGCTCGTTAAGTAGAGGAAAGAAGTCTGTATCAGTAAATCATTACTTAAGTCTTACCCCCTGGTGGGACTATTTCCCCATCCCAGTTACTGCTCGCGGCTAAATGAGTTACTACGTTTGTAAAAGAATACGAAAATATTTCCAGGTTTTTTTCCTGTACAAACCCATTTCGTGTAATTAAGTAATTAAAATGATGAAATGTGAACGTAAAACAATGAAGAATAGATTTAGAGAATAATGCAGTTTTACAGAATTATGTAAGAGGCACCCAGAATTTCCGTTTGAGTGCCGATATCTTTGAATATCATCCTGGAAACCGGAGACTGCATGCTCACGCGCAGCATGCATCTGCGTCTTTTGCTCTCGCTGTCCTCGAGCCTACCATTTACACTTCAGTGCGTGATTAAATTCTAACCCCATCTTCCTCTTAAGTATTGTACACTGCTGTCATTGTTTCATGTCGGTCAAGGCAGCACGGACTGTTCATAAATCACAGCGCTTACAGTTTCCGCCTGCGGAGAGAGTATCTCAGTGCTTATGACTGCCCGTGGGTACTGGGATGCTCAGTGTTAGCTGGTAAAATAATCGATAGATGGATCTGCTGGCTGTGCGGCTGCAGGAGCCTCAGAGGAGTGAAAGCGCAGAGCTTTCAGAGCTGTGTGTGGGCAGGGGGACACATCTCAGAGTCTCTCGGGTACGACGCTCTCATCCTAATGTGCGTCAGCGCTCGCTGCGTCATCGTCGGGTGGACGTCACGCACTAATGGCACCTGGGAGAAACTAAGTAAGAGGATGAGCACAGTGGATGTTATGTAAGAACAGCCATGGAATCGGTCTGGTCGTCAACACAGGGGTTCTCTCAGCTGTCTATCCGGCTCTGTTTCCCCTGGTCCATCAATTACGGCCCCCTAACATGTAAATATACCCCCAATCAAAAGTGGAATTAGCTTATAGTGTTATGTTATTGCTGTAGGTTCATCTTCCATATGTTTACAGCAGTCCTGTAATCATATTCCAACTGCTTGTTGTCCTTTCATCAAAACATTCACTCTGTCCCCACGTAAAACAGCCCCCATTTTCCCCGTGGACCCCCACAGAAAAGACCGCACACTCTGAATTCCGCTCTGCCTTCCTAACTGGAATTCTACATCTCTGAGTAGTAGTCATGGAAACTATTGCACAGCATTCGGGAAGCCACGCTGGAAAGGGGCATCTTCGAGTCTCTGTTCTTGCAGTTCCAGTGATATAACAGAAAACTATGAAGATTCACCAGCAACATGGACAGAATATGCTGTGGTAATGTGCACAACGTAGTACTGACTGAGCCACACTGTTGAGCTCTCACCTCATGTGTTATTTTCTCATAAAGCTGTCTGGACCTTGATTACATTCTAGTGCAATCCCCTGGCTCTGCACTCGTGAGTCACAGCTCAAGGCCATGTTATCTCAGCTCAGACACAGTACTTTGTCCCCCGCAAAGGTGACATTTAAACACCACAATGGTCACTCACTACATCACTCTCCTTAAGTCCTACCTGTATCCTAATCTCTCAGAAAAGTTCAAGCAAAGAAACTAATGAAAGAAGGTGGGTTATCTTCAAAGGTCCTCTCTGTGTGCCCCCCTCTGCCCCCCCCAGCAGACTGCAGTCACAGTGATTACAAACCCCTCTGGAGGTAGACTGCAACTTCCAAAAACTCATGATAACTTTATTGATTTGGGAAACAGGCATCCCAAAATGAACAACGTTGTATTTAAGAAATAAGAAACCACACTGCCAGAGGCTAGGGAAATCAGTTATGACGTTTTCGTTATTCAACAATTTGCACCTGTGTATTAGTCATGTACGGCCTGGGTCATTCAGACGTGAGAGGGTTACTGCATTTCTCATTACCTTGGAAACAAGAGCCCCGACTCTGGGAATCCCATAATGCGCAAAATGCATGACCTTTAATGCGCAAAATGCATTACCTTTAATGCGCAAAATGCATTACCTTTACAGCACATAATACACAAAACCCTATTAGCGCACGTGGGGACCATGACTGTCGGAACAGGTTAGGGGGGCGAGAATTAATACAGAGAAAAGAATGAAACTCTCATTCAACAAATGGGTAGTAGATCTATCACCAAAGGCATGTTGGTAGAGGAGAACAAAATATTCTGATATCGCATTACAGAAGTAAGCACTCAGTCTGAGAAAGAAGATCCATACTCATGTATGGTAAAGAATTTGAACTTTAAAATTCAGATTGTGTTGGACAGCCATCTGGAGTACCCTGTCCATGCCAAATTATGTTTTTGTGTGTGAGAGGGAACACAAGATGGATGGCAATCTAAAAATGTCACTAGCAGAAGAATTCTGACCGAGGGCAAAATTCTGTCATTTGTTCATGGGGCACATTCTTCTCTGAAGACGACCTGAAGTATGACTCAGAATTTCGATGCCCCCATTTCCCTTCAGATTTAGGACGCTCCTTATGATGTCATGCTTTGTGTGATTGTGTGTTTCCCCCCTAGCTCTCCAACATTCTTTAATGTGCTATGATTTGTGTAGGATAACCACTTGTTAACCCTAGGAGACTGTGGTTATGAACATCAGAAATATTTGGATCAGAAAGTGAAATGAGAACTGGGATCGTGCGAAGACCCGTGGGCACTTTCACACCGTGGCTGTGGAAAATTCGATACCTAGATGTTTTGCTAAGCAGAAACAAACCCAGGGATGGGCAAACAAGCTTAGAAGAAGGTGGCATGGCAGGTAGTTAAGGTCAGCCCCCTCTCTTGAAAACCCGTAACCCGCAGTCTGTCCTGGTTATCTAATCTCCCGTTAAGCGCGAGACACTGTGTGTGCATCAGGAGCAGGTTGGGGAAAATCCACACTGCTGTCATATCTGTGGATCCTTGGATCTCAGCCCAGAGCAATCTAGCTCACACATATGAGTATGACAGAACAATGGAGAACAGAACAATTAATAAGCTCCTGTAAGGAGGACATCACGACAGCTGGAAGATGCAGTTTAACTCAATTTTATAAAAATCTATGACTGCAATGAAACAACTAAAAATGCTTAACGCTTAAAATGGTAAAGGTTAGGGCTGGTTAAGGGGTTAAGATTGTCATTGATGGGATTAGGGTTATGCCCATAGAAATGAATGGAGAATCTTCACAAATATATAGATACCTAATCTGTGTGTGTGTGTGTGTGTGTGTGTGTGAAAGAGGGAGAGTGTGGTTTGGATCCATTTATGCCTCATAGTTTAATCCAGATCAGACAATAAAAACTTCTAATATTAGTCTTGTCCTGAGAGTTAGCAGAATACACTGCAAATGTCAAATACAACAAGCATCAGTGTAACCCACTCCTTAACGTCACTGGCTGGTAAGTTCTGCATTTACATCGCGACTGTCCGCTCATGATCTGAATCACGAACAGTACAAACGCAACACACCCACACATGCACTATTAATTGCACTGTGCTTGTCATGCTCTGCTATTTCAATGACGTAAGGCCCAAACAGGAGACAAGCATTCGGAATTTAACTCATGACGGGCTGACTGATTTCACTAATTGTTTTGCAATGGTTCTAGTTCCAGAAAACGAAGTGAGCAATCCAAGATGCTGCAAAAGACTGAAATGTTCTTGTACACTATGTACACATATATGTGGATGCCAGTTTGTCCAACATCCTATTCTGAAACCAAGGGTAATTCTATAAAGTCTGTTGGTCCTATGTTGCTATATTGACCCCTGGGAAGGCCTCCCGTTAGATGTTGGAACATTGCTGGTGGGATTAACTGCAATTCAGGTTGGGTGTTGCTGTTGGGGTCATGCCATCACCACATTCTCTGTATGGTTTGCCCAAGTACAGAATGACGAGACGTCATCTTACTCTGACCTCCATTGGCCTACATTCATTAGCTTAGACCTGGCCTCACCGTATCCTCTTCACACAGAACAAGGGCCCATACTTAGTTCTGTTTACTCCTGGAGTATGCTTTGAGAGATTATGGTAGGGACCACTTTCCTTGTGTAGTATTGTGAGTCCAGGAGTGTAGGGTTTAGATTGGCCCAGTAAAAGTGAACATGATCCTCCATTTGGACCACATGGAGGTGACGCATGGTGCCGTTAGTGTTGGATCCAGATTACTCTTCTGGACCGGGTTCCTGGCACACTTGTGCATCCCCAGCAAGGCATGTCATACGATATGTTTCTGTTGCTGGGCTTTCTGTTGCTGTTTTGAATCGGACTGGGGATGCGGTTTGTATTTTGACTTTTCTCCAGAGAAAGCTGGTGAGCAGTCATCAGTCAATGATTCTTCACAGAATGTCACAAAGACGTCAAAGACTTTTCACATGGGGAAAAAAATGGATGTGTGTCCATCCTGCTTCCTGAGTGACATCAGCCCGTTTGAAGAGATCAGTCAAATCACCATAAATATTTGCAGTAGCACTGTGACTGCCTCTGCACGATGCACCCAAATACGGTGTTGGATGCGTGGTATGTGTGACACATCATGTGCTTCTTTGCCTTGAGCCACAAACTGGGTCACTTGCCGGCTGCTGTCCATGGTCCTGGATCCGGACAACAAGGCTTCCCAGTATCGCTGTAAGATGAGAGCTTTCACACTAGCCATCGGGCCAAACATGCCCTCGAACGAAGGCTTGTGGGAGTTTTACTTACACAAAAATGTTCTGAGTGCAGAGCCTGAAGGAGGCAGGACCAAGACATCGGATTGTTTGGGCTGGCCACCCCAAGTTGCTTGGATCCACCT